GACACTCAAAAACTTGTTTTCCTCCTCTTCTCACACTATATAATTTTTGACAAAACCCAGCTTGATCCACTTCTGGAGAGAATTCTCTAGAGTAAATCTCTCATCTAGTTGTCTTTGTGCTTCAGACACCTTCAGATGTACAACCTCTGCCACTCCAGGATACACTCGCCTTTAAAAGATTCTTTGGTTGTTGTCACATGTGCCTGTCTCCTCCTTACAACACCGTAAGTGTCTAAATAATGGAATCTAGACTTCTAATACCCACTGTGCCTAGCCAGCATCAGGTGATGCATGCAGTGATCTCAGTAAGTATTCGCTTGAAAATATGAAAGTTAGATAGTGAAAGAATTATGCCATAGGTGGAAAAAAAAGCATGAACTGGAAGTTATTAACTAAGTTTACCATATAAGCCATTTTAAAATGATATTAAAAGAATACAATGTTTCCTGAAATTAAAATATGATATACTTAATTTAGCAAAAGTTAGGATATTGGTGACATACTTAATGACACTTTATTTTAAAATCAGATATATTTTAATGTATGGACTTTCTTAACTTTTGTCTTTTATTCTGATTTTCTTTTTAAAAATAGAATTTATTGTCTATGGCCATAGTATCCTGAACGAGCCCAATCCCATCGATCTTGGAATCTAAGTAGAGTAGGGCCTGATTAGTACTTGGATGGGAGACCACCTAACAAGACCAGTACTATAGGCGTAAAAAATAAAAAAATAAGAGATTGTAAGCTGACAAAGTCCTTGCAGTCTGTGAGGTCAACCAAGGGTTGCCTCGTCTAAAAAAAAAAAAAAAAAGAATATATTTAACATGTGATCTATCTAATATAAGTATATAATTGTCACAAAAATTGTTACTCAAGATAACCATGTAGGACTTTGAGATATATATCACTATTTTTTTTTTTATTTTATTCATCTCTTTTCGATTTAATACTTAGATGTTTATAAATGCTTCTAGGAAAGGCAAAAACATGTGTAATGCTTAGAAGAGGAAAATTTGGCTATGACATTTTTGTACTCTATTAACTCTACTTTATCTACAGGGAACTTAGATTTTAGTATGCATCAGCAAATGCTGTGAGATGATCAATCTTACCTTTGAGGATCAAACTGTTTCTTTGTTGAGTCAACTTTTTAACTAAAAAGCTAAGATCTAAAAATACAATAGAGCATATCCGGTCTAGGCATGTAGTGTTGGCAGCGCAGAATTTGTGTTTATACATACAAGCAATTAACCTGCCTTTGTAAACATCGGTGTTCTGTTTCCCATCTACATTTTCATTATAAAAAGTTTGATATTGGTGATCTTTACAAGAGAAAAAAACCCATATCATTTTTGTGGGTTTACTGGAAGAGCCAATGACTCTATCCATTTAATTAGAAACACTACCCGCCTTGGAAATAAGCAATGCAAATTTCACTTTATTTGTTCTGAGAAAATTCTGAGAAATGACATGAGAACTACTTATTGACAATGAAAACAATTAGGTGAGACTAGATCAAATTCCGTGCATTATATCATTTGAGTAGATTTTGTACAATTTCCTCTCTCTTTAGAGGCAACCCCATTAACTTGGCCCAATTCAGATAGTCTCAATTTAAATTGTGATCTGTACAGATTCCTTCATTGAAGGAAAAACTGAGGCAGACATTTGGAGTATGATAGGCATCCCTGACCTTTTACCAGGTAAACTAAAAATAATGAGAATAACCACAATGTCTCATCCGTCAAAACTAAGAACTTTCAGAAAGGAGCCCAGAGGCTAAACTGAGTTGGACTTGGTTGTTTGATATAAGACACCTTGAGTTTTATAAAGTCCGATTCCAGTATTGTAAACCAATCAGTGGTTCATCAGATTATTCTAAAGTGTGAAAATTTTAAAAACAGTTGAGAAGAAAGGGTATGCCCATCAATTGCACAAAAGTATTAAGCTCTGAATAAATTTGAATATAATTTAAAGTTCACATTTTTATATGAGTAAACTAATTATCATGCAAGTTCTACGAAAATAAAATCTATGAAGAAAAATGCTGAGGTTAACTCATGAGTTATACTTTCATAATACAATGAACCATTTTATAAGTTATAAATGAATAATAGCTATACTTTAACACAATGTATCTTTACATATTCAAAATAAGGAATAAATACATTTTAGAAATAAGAATGGAGCATGCAAAGATATGGTTTTGAATCTAAACCTTTAAATGTTATTTTTACCACTATGTATGTTCTAAGCAATTAACAACAAAAAAAGTTACCACACATTATTATTCAGCCATATATGCCTCTCGTTTATAACACTGTGTGAAAAGTACCGAAGGCTAGCAAATTCCAACCCTTCCTCACGCTCACTGAATCTAAAGTAGCAAGATAGTATAAAATTCTAGGTGTGTTTTCTCTGAACTAATTTTTATACTCCAACTGAATAAGGCCTCCAAGATATGTAAATCCTAAGCACTTCAGAAATAACAAATCATTTCATCATGGAAGATTATTGGCTTAAAGAAATGAATGTGAAGGCTTTCCATCTTTATCTTACTCACTGTTAAAGAAGCAGCTGAAGATATTTCACTGACTGTACTCTAACCTCAGGTTAATGCTTCTAAAATACCTGTACTTTTATCTTTTTCTAGAGGGGGAGTTCCTTTAAAAAGATGTCCTTTTCTAAAGAGAAGAAAATTTTTGTTAAATTTTTATTGGCAAATCTAAGACTTCTCCCAAAGTGGCATTATCTTGCATGTGCACGTGCACAGGTGTGTTTACGAGTGTATGGGTGTATGAGTGTGTCAGGGGAACTGAAGGTGAAGGAGGAACAAGGTTGGCCTTTACGGCAGACATTACAATTAGCACCATTAAAAAAATGTGGAAACTGAGGCTCAAAAAAGGTAACATAGTCAGGGCTGATGACAAGTAGGAAGCTCACCCATTCAAGTTCAAGATGGTTAGAAATACAGGTGTTTTAAAATGTACCTAGAATTTGTTCTAATCCTGTATGGTAAGATGGTAGACATGGAGACATCTGCCTTGAAAGAAGAATTTATTACCTATTGTTGCCAAGAGGAGGGGGCCCACCATACCAGGCAGAGTCATGCGGGGAAGCACCGGGGTCAGTCAAGAGCAGTAGGAGCTGGCGGGGAAAGCATGGACCAGAGCCTTTATCCTGGTTTTTGCAGGAATGAATGGGCAAGACAGGATGGGTAAGCTGAAGGAGTTTAGGGTTGAATAGCTGGAAGAATTTCAATAGGCTTTGGACTGGAGGGCTGGTCTAGTTGTCCAATACCTGGCCCTGGGGTGTCATAGGGCAGAGAGAATATTGAAATGATATGTGAGAACTTGATAAAGGAGACGATTGGGGATAGGGGTGCTGAATTGGTTTGTTTGCACGTCAAAGGTGTGTTCTCATGCAAGTTGTTTGCTATCACTAGAAATTAGCTGATTCTGGGAGAGATAGTCACTTCCCTGTGTCAGTCAGGCCCCAAGATGTTAAAGACATCTTTTCATACAGAAAAAAAAATTCATACAATAGATAACTTTATTCATTTTTATATAATTTGTTGGCATTGTTTTATACATAATCACATATAATGACATATTTATTTGCAATTAATAAATAATTAAATGAATTCCTAGAGTTTAAATGTGTCTAATTTATAGGAATGAAATTAATATCTGTATATTAAGTATGTTTGATGTGCAAATCCATATATTAATTTTGTAAAATATGCAGCATAAGGTAGTGTTTAAAAATAAAGATGTTCAAGTCAGAAAGAACTAAATTCAAGTCTCAACTGCTTATCCTGAAAATTTCTTCATTGGGCCTGTTTCCACATTTGTATAATGAGACGTATAATACTTACCTCATTAAATCATAATGTATAATTTAATTGGAGAATACTCAAAAAATTCTTAACCTGGGACCTGGATTATTTATTTAATATTTAGGATTATTATTATTATTATTATTTAGATCAATAAATACCCAATTATTATTCTGACCAGGTTTTTAAATTTTTTATTCTTTTAGGACAATTAAATAGAATCACCATATGAAGAACCAGAAAGCTTAGGTGATTTTTCAAATGATTCAAATATCCTCCTATTTTCTTCTTAATTGTCTGCAAATTTTAGATAAAATACTTGGGCCAAGACTAGCCAGAAAATTTCTTCAACTGGTACAACTTTGCCTACCAAAGTAATCATAGTCATTGTGTTTAACAACTATGACACACAAAATCGGAGAGTGGCCAGATTCATGCATAGCCAACTCCTGGGATCACTAAGTATAGTAGAATATTCTCATTTACTCTATGGGTGCGCCAAGTGTAATTAGGGAAAAAAATAAGACATTTCATCAATCCCACAAAAATAATTACTTTATTCTTTATAGTTACACTTTTAGATTAGAGAGTTCTCCTATATGTGCTTTTTTAAAGATCTTTTTCCTTTTTCTTCACCATTTTCTGAAAGATTGTTTAACTCATATTTATTTACTCACCATCTTTTAAAAAGAGCTTTAAAAAAAAAGTGTTGGAGGAGAAAGTCAAGAAGAGAAAATATGCAAAGTAGAGAAAGCTCTTATAAAGTGTTTTGCTGTATCCAATATTTAACGGTTAGGTTATTTCTCAAATTTACATAAAGACTTATTATCATCTTGACTGCAATCATGTAGAAAATGAATGGAGTATAAAGTACATGAGGATAATTTAATAAAACGAGGTTTCTTTTCTTATGAGATCTTTGAAGAAAGGGATCATTAGACAGAGACTTGCCTTGTATTCACCCAGGTCATGCGGCATGTCAGTTTGGTGATGTGACTTTGGCAAGAAGTCCTTAATTAGAAATTCCTCGAGAGCTGCTCCCAGTGGTTGATTCCTAAGACAGAGGACAAAATAATTTAGCAGAGGAGCCCTGACTAAGGATGCTACTCGGGTGAATGAAAGAAATAATTTGCCAACAGCAAAAGAGCAACCTGACGCGATGGGGTGTTGGATTTTGAATGAGAGTCTGTCCGTCATGTTCGTAGTAAGTGTTATTTTGTTATTCCACTTTAAATATATATTGAATCATCTTTGATTTGTAGGATCACTTGTTTAGGAATGCTAAATAGCTTCAATGATTACTCTGGTTAAAAGACTAAAACTTGTTAGAAAACATTCAGTAGGTATATTTAATTTACCCTTACAGAATCATGTGGAGTTATCTTCCGATTGAGCATATCTTTAATTATTTTTAAAGTCTAGTTAGATTTTAAATAATGTATGAATGTTTTTCTAAATCAGAGGAAGTCTTTGAATTACACTATGAAATGGGAATTTTTCTAGAGTATTTTCTGAGTTGATTTAAAAGACTTTCTCTTTCGTGACATCATCAACTTAAAACTTCATGTCAGTGTTGATTAGGGAGGTTGTGTTCTTTTCATAAAATTCCTTAAAGAATATCCATACGTATTTAAACTTTTTTTATAAAGGTAGAAATTTCTTACCAATAGAATTACCATTAAAAACTAATCTATAAAATAATTATATGGAGTGATTCTGATTAATATTGAGAAGTTCATGTCACTTGCACTGAACCCCAAGAAGATCCCCAAGTGATTTTGAAAAGAAGGTTGAAGGTAGTATTGACAGGTTCTCTTCTCATTTTACTCTAGCTCTCATGGTTGGGAGTTAATTTCTATCTGTTTATCGACACATTCTGTTGGTATGAAGAGGAAGAGTCTTTCTTTTATACACGAGTTATTCTGGGTGTAAGTAGAGTTGGTGACTACACATTATCATTTCAGAAAACAAAATATACTCTATTGTCTCAGCTTCTTTGTTTTCACTGTATCACCTTCTCGTCTCTTTACAAATGAACAGTCAGCCCTGGCTTGGGCAAGAGCATCTGCGGTCTGCCTGAATTTCAACTGCATGTTAATTCTAATACCAGTCAGTCGAAACCTTATTTCATTCATTAGAGGATCAACTATCGTAAGTACTAAATTATTTGAGAGAATTTCTGTTGTTATGACTTATTAATATAAGTGCCATTGGAAACAGAGATGTTCTTTACTATGAAATTCCCAATAACCCTGTTTATATTAAGGTTTGCTCTTGGTTAGAGACAGCACAATGGCTAAAACTGACGATCAGAAATTGGTATATCTGATTTGACTTTTGCTTTTGCCATTGACTCTGTACATGACATTGGACTTATCACTCAAGCTTTCCCTGACGCATTTGCTCCATCTGAAAAGTAGGGCTAATAAAATTGACCTGAGAAGATGGAAGTATTATAACAGCTTGAACTATTACCATTCCTCATTGAAAGGAGACAAATATGCAGTTGAGCCACATGCCGCTATGAAAATACCTTGAGTTCTCAGCCCCCAAAAGCACAATCACAGTGCACAGAGTATGTAGATTTTAACCCCCACAAGACATAATGAGATATTTCCTAACAATATTGATTTCACTATATTGAGTACTTATCTATGTCTCCTGCTAGACCGAGTAACACACTGCACAGAAAAATGAGGTTATCTTCAATAACCTTTAGTAAATGAAATAATTTATTATATAGTCAACAGCATTGTTTTATGAATATTTAGATATAGTTGGCTATAGTGCCTTTCTTTGTGTAATAAGGAATAATTTATAGACTACTAAATCCTATCAATAACGATGATAGTTATCATCATCATTTTCCAAATAAGCTGAGGCATGGATATCAGCAGGTTTATTCCTGAGTTTGATTCACAGCCAGGGTACTACTAACTCAATCATTTTTATTGAGTTGAAGTTTCAAAAAAGCCAGTTATAACCATTTGGTTTTGCCTGTTTGACTAATTAATGGCCACTGATTTTCTGTGTCATATATCCCCACCTTTAGTAATTTAGAGGCAGAGCATGAGTCCTGCTCTCTTAACTTTCATGACACGTCACTAGAATTTTTCCCCAAACAAGATTTTTATTTTTGTTACTCTAGTGCTGCAGAGGACCATGGAGAAGGCAATTAGACAAAAACCTCAAATTCCACAAACTGGTTGCCTATGGAATAGCTGTTAACGCAAGTAAGTGCTAGATTTTACAATACCTTTATAGCTTTGTTCATTTTCTCTCACTAAAGGCTCTCCTTTAGGTAAAAGAAATCATTGCCTTCCGTTTGACCACATAAACCTTATATCAATGGAGTTTTTAATTTCTAATTTATACTCATGCAGTTTTCCATACCAAGTCTTCAATTTATCAAGGAAAAGTTTTATGAAACTTTATTTCCATCTGTGAATAATTAAGCTTGTTGATAACACAATAATAAATACCTACTTGAAAAACGAACACCATTATTCGATATAATTCACAGCAGAAATAAGATTGACCTATATTCAAAATCTCATTCACAGTTGTAGGAAAAATGATTATCAGATGGTATCATAGGCAGTAAAAAGACAAAAGAAAAGCAAGAACATGTGAACACGATTCTGAATAGCATTGAGCTAGTGGATATAAAAGAATCTTGAGAAGATATAAAGCTTTATAGGCATATAAAGTGTTGTTATTTCTTGAATTAGAAAACAAGGGAATTCAAGAGAAGACACTAGAAATTAACATCCAAGGCCAAGCTTAAAGTCGAGTGAAGATGACAAGTAAAGAGGCAATAACCAACCAGCTTGTGATTTTCTTGGACAAAAAATACATTGAAACTAAAGGCTATCTGAATGACAAAGAGTTATGATTCAGGACTGTTTCCCTCAAACTAATTTAACTATAAAATGTTTTCCTCATTTGTTTTTATCTTCTCATGCATAAAAAATAGCAGAGTAAAAAGAACACTCGAGACAAATGTGGATTTAATTAAGCAACAAGACATGACAGACGGTGCCCGAGTGCCAATTAACACAACGTTGGGTGTGCTGAGACATGTGGGGAGATCTCCCCATCGATTGTCTTCGACGCCAGATTAAACCAATCCAGGAAACGCTTGCAGAAGGTCTTTGTAGTTCGTTAAGAAATAAGGGTAAAAAGACGTCATGTCCTAGAGATAACTAGTTAAGGGATGGAGGGCAAAGAACAAGGCTTATTCATTTTTGCGTTCCAAGGCCCACAATAGTGCTAAGTGCTATAGATGGGTGCCAATAACTTTCGCTGAATGAGTGACTGCATGAAATAATGAAGACTCGGGGAAGTAGATTTCGGCTTAGAAATGGAAGTCTTTTCCAGACCTTGAGAATTACCTAAAATTAGAACCAGGGTCCCCTGAGAATACTGAGCTCTCTGTTGTGGGTGGTGTCCAAGTAGAGTCGAGGTTGCTCCTTAGAAGGCTCTTCAGAGAAGAAATTCAAAAAATTTGTAGGCTTCCTAAAAATTCATTCATTAAAAGAAGAGATAAAACATAGTAAAATGGCAGGAAAAATATTATTGCCATGCAATAGCTTTAAGGCAGAATTGGACTCTAAGAGAAAGTTACAAAGATGTTATAAAGAAAAGGAACAAAAAAAGGACAAAAAAATCTACAGCATCAAAACAAAGTAGAAAGGAAAGCAAAGAACAAGGAAAAATGTGTTATAAAATAGTTTTCTCCTTAAACCTTTGGGCATGTATATTTCTCTATATGTCATCATATATCAGTAGTATAAATGCATCGGCAGTGTGTATCAAGTCTCCCATGTGCAAGATATTTTGGTAGGAGCTATAACTTTCTAAAACTGTGTGGTCAGGACTGTTTTCAGAATGGACTATAATTTAGTACAGGCAGCAGTTGAGTAGAAACAACTTATTTTATACCCCTGTAGCTAGGTGGACATTGGTTGTGTGAGTTCAGGTAAGTCCTTTGTGCCCTCCCCTCTGCGGAATTAAAAGAATACTAATACAATCTATCCATCTCTATGAGATGTGCAGATTGGTTATCAGGAGTGGACGAACCTCTTAGAAACCGCCAGTCTACAAGGTCATTTACTTGCTGCCATGGCAAAGAGAACGAAGTCCAAGTTTAACGTGGTCGGCAGGCTCTGCTCATTCAGCCCTGCCCAATAGGCCAGTCTCTTCTCCCCCCACGCTCCCTTGCTTCTTCCTCTTGGCAGTCCCTCAGTCGTCTGTGCCTTTGTCCTTGTTTTTCTCTGTGTCTGAAATGCTCTCCCTGTCCTTCTTCACTGAGGAAGACATAGCTACATCCTGGACTTCTTGCCTGGCCTGCCTCCCCCTGACCTGCCAGGTCTGGGCTGTCAGCCCCCTCACCTGTGGGACAAGTCACACCTCCTACCACATAGTGAAATTTCTCAGACTCTGATCACCCCAAGGACTGAGACTGTGCTGTATGCATCGTGGCTTCCCTGGTCCTTGGCTCGTAATGGGTCCTCGACAAATTTAATTAAACCTGAGGATGAGTAGGCATCAACCAGCGGGCAAAAGAGATTGAAGGAATTACTGGGAAAAGGACAAGACGCGACAGTGCAGGAGTCATTCAGGAACCGGGAGCAGTTTCGGGTGGAGAAAACAGGGTGTGGGCCGTGGCAGCAAAGAGATTCCAAACGATGCCAGTCGTCCCAGATAATAAACTCACATTCTGCCGCAACAAGAGGAAGCAGGATGCTGTTTCTCTCGCGTTTCCTTACAAATCCCTAGAGAGAATCAACTACCTTCTCAGGCAGCCCCCTTCCATTTGAAACCCCACTGCTTTTCCTGCTCCCAAACATCTCATGGGGCTCCCCCAGCAGAGGCAGATGCTTTTGAAAGCAAACTACAGCCTCTTCTCCCACCGCCATGGCAACCAGCAGCGCTCTGGCTGTTTCCATGCCTGGCGAAGGCGGGAGGGTGGGGAGAAAGCGCTCTGCTTCCCCTAAACCCTGACAAAGCAATTATTACATTTCACATTAACTAAGAAACGTGGCTGGCAACTGCGCTTTTAGAGGGGGAAAAAAAATGCTAAGCCCTAGTTTCATAGATATACCTTTGCTTTTCACATTTTGTCCTTCTGGGTATATTCACCTGGGAGCAGCTGAAAATGTCCCCGTCCTGGTTTTATTAGCATCGCCCATCACGCTGCTTTTCAAATAGCCGACTGGCTTAATAGAGGTGTGTAACCTTGGAAGACGATCCACATCGGAGTCTGCGTGCCAGCCTCTAATTTCTCATCCGTCCTCCTTTAAGTTGAACTGCAGGCTTTAATTGGTCAGACCATTAAAGGATGTAATTAGAGCCTGGTGGAAGTAGGCTGGGGAGGAGGAGGGGAGAGGCAAACAACAGTATCTATAATCAAGGGCATCACCGAAAATGCAGAGACAAGAATGCTGCTTCTTTCGGCTTCCTGCCTTCCTGCTTCCCTGCCTATGATAAGAGCTGCTGGAGCATTCCTCAGCCACCCATAAATCACTTTCGGGGACCTATAACCCCACGGGCATAAAAAATCGTGGTTTCACAGCCTCTTCGTTCTTATTAATGCAGCTCTTCTGGACTCTCTGCTTACAGTAAACCTTGAAGACCCTTCCAATCGAATAGCCGTACTTGGAACCTGAGCTTCCTTCAAAGGGGCCTGTAAATAGTGACTCAGGCAGCTCTCTCTAGCGAGCTCCACAACTGCTAGGTTCCAGGAGCATTCCATTACCCATGTGCCGCTCCTGACGAGTTGCTAAAATTAGTTTACAAACCTCAATAAACATAGCAGGGACAGGTTGAGAGGAGCGAGCTCAGCATAACGGTACTGAGAGAAAAGATTTGGAGGCCCCGAGGTAGAGAACAGCCCCAGAGGCCCGACTCTCAAGACTGGATCCCTAAAGAATCGCTACTATTCCGGGCCTGCTTGAGGCTCTGGGAGCACCAGGGAGACTGTCCGCCGGCCTGCTCAACATGACGAAGTGTGACCTACGGGTGGCACACACTGAGTGCCACAGTCAGTGCGCACTCCTGCAGAAATCAGTCCACGAATCTGAAAGTTTGGGGCCAGATTCTGGCTGCAGGACTGCAGCCAGGATTTGTCCTTGGGTCCTTCTTTCTAATGGCTGTTTAATTAGGAGATGACTTAACTCCAAAATGACTGTTATCACAGACAGGCAGGCAGAAAGATGGCAGGAACTGACCACCTTTCCACGATTCTCCCTCAATTATGCTTCCTTTGATCTCTCCAAAAATAAAAAGAAGGAAAGAAAGAAGGAAAAAGGAACTTTCTCAGGGCAACTGGCTCTAATTGTAGCCTTTATGATTTTTTTTTTTTTTTGTTCCTTCTTCAAAAAAAAGCTCCGTATTTGAACTCACGAGTTCACACACCAATTAAATGTGCATTTGTAGTGTGCCCAAGATCGCTGTTCTCTTTTAACTCTAAAAGTACTTTGGTGAGAATATAAAAGTGTGGAAGGACCCAATTATAGCATCTTTTAGCCTGGCATTTGGGTGAGTTCTGGAAATGTTTATATTGGGCTCTTCCAAGGGCTCAACGCAAAGTCCTCAGAGGCACAAGGAAGGGTGTACCTGCAGAGGTCACGCCATTGGATTTGCCACAAGACTTAAAAAGCCCCTTTAAGCCAGTGTTGATTTTGAAAACATATTAAACATGAGTTTCATGTTTGCCTTACTTTCATATTAAATTCCAGATCCCTTTTTGAGGATAAATGTTCCCAGTCAACTTCACATAGAGACACAAGAGACCGGCCACTTAGATATCGTGTAGTTCAGTCCAATTCACCCATTCTACAGATGAGAAAACAGAGGCTGAAAAAAGTCAAGTAACTGTTCATATTAAAAATAACTAAAATGTATAAAGGGAAGAATAGAAAATATAATGTCTGAAGAAGAACAAAATCAATATCTCCCCTGATATCTATCAAGTCCCAATAGCCCTGGTTTGGGTTGCTGGCATATCTTTAGTTCCAAGCCAAGACCACAATAAAATTTGGATCAGATCTAAGAGGAAATAAAATGTTTAGACGAAGTGGGTACAAGCAGTTTTCTCTCTGAGAATTTTCTCCTGAGATAAATAAAATAAGGTATTCCACTTCTTACCGTCTACATCTGAAAAAAGAAAAGTAAAGTAAAGTAAAACCAAGATGGAGGCAGCTGGAGCAAAGGAACATTTAAGACATGAATTTTAAAGAACATGAAAAAAACTAGAAAGACTGGTTTTCAACGTATTCCCTCAGGAGCTAGCTCTTGAAAAGCATCTTGGGTTTTCTTATACTACCTCATTACTTTCTTCAACTCTGTTACAGGAGACCTGGCAATAACAATAAACAAATAGTTCAGTATTTTTGTTCATTCAATAAATATACTTAAATCTAGTTTAATAGTGTCAAATTCTCATGCGAAAATCAATCTAATAGAAAATAGATTGTGATCAACAACTCATCACGCAGGAAGACTATTATAGAATGTAGAATACAGGGCACAGAATTTATCTATTATAGAATGTAGAATACAGGGCGCAGAATTTATCCCATTGTCCCTTTCTGACTCACGTGTGGATTATGCTCCACTTAATTTGGTTCGAAGCTCAGTATCTATTTCTGTAAAATGGGAACAGCTCAACTCTGTCTGGTGTGCTTTATTTAGTCCAAGGAGGGAGAATTAAAGAAAGCCAGGAGCAGAGGAGTGAGAGAAAAGGGGTGGAATGTGAAAAGAGTATGTATACCCACCTGCAGAGATGCCTCCCAAGGTGGCTGTGATCAGTCATAAGTTTGAGAGCTATTTGACTCTAGAGTAAGGACACCAAGCGAACCACTCAAAGTGTTTTAGTTAAGCCTGTAGGAGAAATCTGTTTTCAGTAACAGTAAGGTGTAACAATTATTGATTAGTGAAAAGAAGCAATAAAGCTTAAAGTCTAAGGTGGGAGGGGTGGCGGGGCTGGAGTCAGGCAAACAGGGTTTTATTCCACTTTTGCCATTAATGAAACTACAAGTTCCTTAACTCTTCGAATACTGGTCTGTAAAATGGGAATAAGACTAATGCTTGAAGATTAAGTGAGATAATATGTCTAAAGCACTTATAACAGTGTTCAGGGTATAGTAAGCATTCAATCTATGTTAACTATAAGAAACTGGACTTGCTTTTTCAAAACCAGTAATTATCAGAAAACAGCAATTAGGAATACTGGACAATATTTATGTTTCATTTAGCAAATAGTTCTTGTTTTTATATGTAGTTTATTGAAAGAGACTGCTCCTAGATAAGCTTTTCTAGCTTTGTGGATGCTGAGACTGAACAAGACAGCCCCTTCATAGACACAGCTGCATATGCTGACGAATGAAATATAAGGAATAAATACACTGTCTCTTGGGTGCTAACGTCACAGGACCCATAAAGAGACAGTCAACATTATAAACTCAGAAACACGGTCATGTGCTTTACCTTCATAGGTGGGCCCCAACCAAAACCATATCTGACTCGATTTCTACTTAAAGGCTGCAAAAAAAAAAAAAAAAAAAGTCAAAAATATATATGTTAGCATAGAAAATGCTATCGCAACAAAGTAGCATCTACAGTTCAACTTCTTGACCCTTTCTTTCACTTAGCAAATCATCATTACGTACTTATTGGTGCTAAGCGATGTGCCAGATGTTGAGGCTTCAAGATGAACAAGTCTTGAGAAGTCAAAGTCCGTTGGGAAACAGAAGTATAAATAAATACTTGTAACAATAACATCTGGATTATAAAGCAAGGGATCGTGTGTGCCTGCAGAACTGAAGAATGCTTGCTAAAAACAGCTTTTGAGTTGAGTCTTAAAACATGAGTAGAACTTTGCAAGGCAGGAAAGGGAAATGTCTCTGACAGAAGGAACTCAGGTGACAGAGGCTGAACAGAAGATGGCATTTCTAAATAAATATGCTACTAGGACCACAGGGCCCAAAACGACACATCTATTCTCAGCAGTTTCTGCTGTTCCTTTTTCCCTCGCTCCCCCACACCTCTATCCACGACTTGCAGCCATGGAATCTGCCCACGACTTCCAGAGACTGCTTAATAGTAATAACCTCTGCTGCTTTTCACTGTGGGTACCGGGGGGGAAAGAAGAAAAAAGGATATCGATGGCAGAATCATCTGTACCTGGGAATGAATTCTCATTTCACATTTGAATCTGATTCCAGAGGTAGGTGTCAACTGGCCATCCAGCTAGGGTTCCATTTGCAACAAAAGCATCAGGACATCCTTGACTGTATGTTGTGACGGCTGGTGTCCCCCCAGATTTCACAAGGCAGGAAAGAACAGCACCAGGCACAGACCCCATAGGCTAGACAACGCTGTGTTCCTGAGTTTCGCATCTTCATTTAGAATTTAGACGTCACTGGTTCCCAGAGTTAGAAAGCTGAGTTTTCTTAAGAATAGACAGAGAGATCTAGTTGCATAAATACTGGCTTATTTCAATCCACTAGGAACAGCACATGCAAATATATGTGTGCATGCGTATAGGAGTGTATATATATATACTAAAATATATAAAGTAAAAATAAAAAATATAATGCCTGAAAGAGAATAAAAACAATCTCCCCATATATA